TCTTCCCACATAGTTTAAATGGGAGATTATGCTATTGGATTAATAAACGGCATAGATCTGTGCTGTCCAATATAGTAGCCTCTAGTGCTGAGCACTTGAAATGTGGTTAGTCCAAACTGATATTCTTTTTTTTTTTAAGTGTAAAATACACACCAGATTTCAAAGATTTAATGCAAAAAAAAGGTAAAATACCTCAATAACTTTTCATATTATGTTGAAATATTTTGAATATTTGGGTTAAGTAAAACATTATTTAAATTAATTTTACCTGTTTCTTTCTTTTTTTTTTTTTACTCTTTTAATGTGGCTACTAGAAAATTTAAACAACATATGTAGATTACATTAGTGGACTGCACTATGTTACTATTGGACAGAAGTGGTATATCTTTTTGGGTACAGCATAAAATTAATCCTGATAATTTCCCTAAGAGGACTTAAAAAATACTTCTAGAAAAAAGTTAGAGACTTTGACAGAAAACAACTCCCAGCAAGGAGTTATTTTACTTCAAAAAATAATTCATCTTAAATTTTTTAAAAAAAATCTGTTTGTCACCACCATTCCTAAAGACACTTCATTTGCAGTGTTTAATAGCTTCTTCTCAGGATCAAATTCTAGAGGAATGAAAAGCAAAACAGCAGCCAAAAGCTTAAGAGGTAACCCACTCAGGGAAATAAAATGCAGTGTCTTTTCTCTTCCCAGTGTTTCACATGATTCAACCTCAGAGGAATTTTGGGGGTCAAGGACAGAAAATAGATGAAGAGAGGAAGAGTAGTTCCATCAGTTCAACTGTAGTAAAATAATGAAATAGTGGTAGAAAGTAAGTTTAATTGACCTTGAGAACCTAATTCCCTTAGAATATTATATACTCACTCTTGTGTAATTTTCAGCATACTGTTTGTCAGATTTTTCATCCAACTAGAAAAGAACAGAGATAAAAATCAGGAAAGATGCTTAGGCTGTTGGTTTTTTTTTTTTTTTAGGAGAAAAAAGAAGTGATTCATTTGATTTCTCTAAGTTCAACTGATGTTTGGAACCTAAAAGTAAACATACTAAAACTGAACAAAAAGTTGAAATACATAAGATAAAGTGTCAAAAACTTTAATTCTTACCCCAAGGAAGACATGAACTTAAGCAAGCTGTCCTTTAGCAAAAGTTTACCACTTTTAGATAGATTTTCTTTTCATGGTATTTGAGTACATTAAGGAAAACTATATATAAAACTTGTTTTAGCATTGCAAACGTTAATACAAAATAAAAAAAAAAAAAAAGCTTGTACACATCAACAGGAAAAGTCTGATACAGTTCAAAGCCAAAAAATTTTATTATCTAAACATTATTAGGACACAGGACACAAAGATAAGACTAAGCATACTTGGCCAAAAAGTTCAGATTAGACTGAAGCATGTTAAATATATCATCAAAAAAATTTTCCCCCACAGCATTAAGGATTCGGTTGTTTGGCACATTTTGTTTTTTGTTTTTAAGTAATAAATGAACAAGTGTCGAAAAAAAGAAAGAAAAAAATGAAACAGCACAAAAGAGAATGAGAAATAAGCCCCTCTCCCTTCCACATCATATCCTGACCTCCAACTCTTACTCCAAGGGCATCCAACTCTCAAGTCTTTAAAAATTTCTAACAATAGTGTTCCAAATACATTCTATATTTTCTTTTGCTCCTTGTCAAGTTTCAGAGATTAGAAAAAGTGCTTCACTCTTCTTCATGGCATTTATCTCTCCCTGACCCCATGATATTAATTTATTTACTGTCTCCTCTCTCTCCCTTTAATGTAAGCTCTACGTTGGCGTTCTTTTCTGTATTCTTAACACCAAATATAGCACCTAGCATATAAAAAAAACTCAAAATTTGTTGGATGAATGCATAAATGAATCATACTCCATCTGTACTGTAGACTGACCTCTATTTTAACAGCTGAATATATCTGATTATCTGGACATACCATAACTGAGTTATCCTATCTTCTGCTGATAGTCTTTAAGATTGTTTGAGTGAGACAGTGTCTCAAGAAGGTCTAGTCCAAAACCCTGACTTTATAGCTAAGGAAAGATAAATTCAGAGGTGAAAGACTTTGCTGAAGGCTGAACTACTAAATGTCAGAGCTGGATCGGATCTCAGTTTTGTGAATTTTGGCCCCAGTATTCATATTGTTTACCTGTATATACTGTCCCAATTATCACTGGGCAGGGAGGAGTCACACAGAGATTTAACTAAATGAAAATATACCCAGATTCCAACTGCTGGATCAATCTTCCTAGCCCAATCTAAAAAGAGATTTGAAAAGCTTCCTCAGTTCATTATTAAAACATAAAATGTCATTATTTTTGGCTCTATTCAGTTCACTTCACTTTAATTTCCTTATATTTGAAAGTTTTTCTGCTCTTTTTCATTACCCATATTTATTAATTCATTTTCTCAGTAAATACCCGTCATTATGAACACTGTATTAGTAATATAAATTATCTTAGACTTTAAACTCTTTTCGCTACTTATTGCTGTAGTACTCTAAAAAGGAATTGATTTTAGTTCACTTTGATTTTTAAACCATATGTGAAATGTTTTATAACAATCAGGGAATGAAAATAGTTTTTATATTGGCATTTTTGCCATAAAAAGGAATAATCTTTCATTGCATCTATACTAGTAAAATATATTACCTAATATTTAATGTGTTATTCTTCAGAGTGAAAGAAATACTACATCTGAATAAATGCCTTCTTTCCCTGAGTATCTTCCAACTGTCTTCTACTAATGAGTTAAAGAGAAAAACAAACAGCATTCGAAAGCATTCCTCTAGGTCTTTCTGAAATCTTGTCTCATTCCCCTCTCAAACAATAACCCCCAAACCCACCCATTTTTTAATAGACAGACAACTTGAAATAATCTTACATTTCAGAGGCTGCATCACTAGTCCATCGCAATGTTGACTCTACTGCTTTCACTCTCTTCTGACAGATCCCAACTGTCGCAACCCAAACTGATGATGTGCCAAACCTCAGGGATTGTCAAGCCAGCAAAAAATGCCTAGAACAGCCATGCCGCAGTCCAATTATTTTGGCTGCAGTGACTTGGCCAGAGACTCTTCAGTTCTCACGTGTCAGCCTTTGTGCTATATGATATGCTGTATTTCATTTAAACAAAAAGCTAGGAGAAACATGGTATTCTAAAAGCCCCAGTGCTCTAACGTCAGGAGGTCTACATCGCTACACTCAATGACAAGCTAATGTTCAGAATGATGACTTGAAGAGTCTGCCAGATCCTGAAGAGGCTTTTCAAATAGAATAAAATTTAATTATGCTTAATATATTAAGGTATAAAAAAGGGTAAGGTTGGTAAAAGGGTAAAAACCTTCAGCTAAAAGATGAATAAGGTCTGAAGATCTAATAGTGATTATAGTTGATTTTTTAAATCGTATATAAACAACATGGAAAAAATGAATATGCGCAAATATGAAAAAGATTATAATATGAAAAATGATTATAAAATGATTATTAGATGATTTTAAGAAATTATTTTTAATTTCATTAGGAAAGATAATGTTATAGCGAAAAATCAGAAAACGAATCTGCATATACTATATGGTTACAATTCAATAAAACAAACAAACTGCAAGAGAAAAATAATGAAAATAAATCATGAAATTGCTAACAAAAAAAGTGACTAATAAAAAGGTAGATTAAAATTAGGGAAAAAAAAAAGTAAACGAAACTTTTATTTTCCCCTAGTAAAGCCCTCAGGACTTGCTCATTAATGTTGACAGGGCGTACTAGTCTTAAACAAACAAACAAAGTAAATATTATGCCACTGTATTCTTAAATAAATAGGTAATTTCCCAATCAAGAAAAGGGTATTTTTCCTTGATGGCTGTAGAAAGAAAGTTAGCTAACAAGCTTGTAATATTTCATATTAGTATTAATGTGCAAAAAAGAGCACGATGGCAAACTTTACTCCAATTTTAATTCTTAAAGTTCAAAAGTAACATTTTCTTAAAGAATTTCAAATTATCGATTAGTAAAAAAAGTCTTAAATATAATCTTTCTCATATTTCAGTGATAAATGTCTTTGCCTTATTTATGTCTGGGACATCTCAAAATGCTTTGCTCTTGACATTATAAATTGCAGATTGTTTCTCTTGCAATCAAAACTTGATCATTTGTTCACTTGGCACATGTTTTTCTTAGAATATATATACCTTGTCAAATCTTTGAAACTTTTGTTTCTTCTTAAAAGAAAGATATTTATTAGTCTCTGATTAAGGGGCCCTTTAACCTTTGTTTCAGCAAATAGCTACTTAGTTTGACAGATAATTTCAAGTATTTATAGTATAGTTTGCTTAATGTAGTCATTAGGTTCTAATCTTTGTTAACCTCTAATTTACATATACTGACTTGATAATGCTATTCAAAAATTCTGGAGGGGAAAAAAAAACAAACAGAAAACAGAAGACCTGATTCTCTAAGCACAAAAAGAAGAGAACAATTAATTTTAATAATCTTCTATAGCAAAACTGGCTGAGGATTCCATTCAGAAATGGTCAAATTATTAACAATCAGTAAAACTAAAGTTAGCACACTTACATTCTTTTCCTTTACTCTAACCTGACCTATATGACAGAAAGAAAACAATGCAGAAGACACGAGGCTAGAGCAACTATAAATACTGTATAGTGAGTCTTCCCAAATCAGGGCCTGGCACCCTTTGTCAGCACCTCCTACCTCAGAAGTTATAAACTAGCTAACTGTACACATATATTTGATCCACAATGGGGAAGCCAGAAAGTATCTTTTAATTTTTGAACTTGCGATTTTAAAATCAGGATATTGCATGTAAAAATGCAGATTTCCAGCTTATCTTTTTAAAAAAGTGTGTGTGTGTGAGGAGAAATCTTACCAACGTCAAGTCCATTTTTTATTTGTCTGTAATGAGCTGAATTATAGTATAACCTTTAAAAGAAATATCATTAGAGAAAAATTTGATCTAGAGAGGGGACCTGCGAATATTTTATGCTTCACCAAGAGGCAAAATTAAGACTATTATATAGAATCTTAGATAACCATTTTAAAAAATAAAAGGCAAAATATACTGAAACTTTTTGAATGGAAACAGTATTTTAGGTGTGGCAATGAAAAAGTAAATATACACACACACAATTAGTTCACAGGCTGTAAAATAACAGGGAGCTTTCCAGATTTGTCAACCTGCTCTAGAGAATCTTTTGTTTATGTACTAAGGTATACAGCCGATGATATACATATAGGCTATGTATATTGTGTGTATGTATATCAAATCATCATGTTATATACCTTAAAAACATATAATTTTTTTAAAAATGTCAATAAATACAAATAACTACCTGGGAAAAGAAAAGTTGTTTTTGAGAGGCTGAAGAAAATTATTTGTATAATTGTCAATCTTTTCACTTCTGTGTAGTTACTAAAATAAATTGCCAAGAAATATAATGTAAGGAGAACATAATTACTAATTCAGACATCACATATTAGAGGCTAACAGAATTCAAAGTTTTTAAGAGAGAAAAGTATACATAATAAATTAAAATTAATTGTTTATATCTATGAAAAAACAAGGTACTAAGCAAATTACAGAAGAAGCACTATTTCGGGGAAAAGACTTTGGAGCTCATCTTCTAACTCTGCTTGCAGAGAGACTCCTTGATCTGACCCAGGGAGAGATGGGACTGTGGCATGGCCAGGTTTGAGAACCAACAATCTGAATTCTTACGGACCATACTTAAAATTGCTTTCTAGGATTAAAATCATTCAGAAATAGCTATTTAAATATAACCAGTGATGTGCTAAATATAAATATCTCTCCATTAAAAAACTATCTAACTTTCCTGTTAAGAAACACCGCCTCTCATCGGCTTCAAAGTGCTTGATAATCAGGACAACCTTGGTCCATGGGCAAAAAACAACAACAGTAATTCCAGCCACAAAGAGGACGCGTCACAGAGAAAAAATCAGGCTGGCAGATAAACCAGGCTGGTGGAGGTCCTTCATTAAGACAAATGCCTCTAAGCATCTTACTGGAACTTCTTTCCTCAATTCAGTCCCTGATGAACCTGAAAGCATTGGGAGGCATTTCATCAAAGCAATGCCGTAATTCAAGATCTATTCAGAGTCTTCCCAGGCACTATAAATTAGTGACACTTTACTAAGGAGTATATTTTGTTGTTCAACCTTCAAAGTCTAACTAGAACCTTATAGATTCACCAAAACAAAAAGGGAACAAAATTTTTAAGATCAGGAATATCTAAATATGGTCTAGGTATTAGATGATTTTAAGAAATTATTTTTAATTTCATTAGGAAAGATAATGGTATAGGGAGCATGAACAAACTCTCATAGATCCATACTGAACTGTTTATTGGGAAATAACATGATGTATGGGATTTGCTTTAAAATAATTAAGAGGAAAAAAGGGAGGGCAAGGGGAAGAAATAAATGAAATTTGCAAAATATTATAATTGCTGCAGCTGCTGATGGGCTCTATGGGGGAAATTTCCATAGGAAAAAAGTTTATTTAAAAATCAGAATATATCAATATATACATTCTAAAACAAAATTACTATTTTATGCTCCTATGTTTAAATAAATACTTTCTAGGCAGTAAATTAAGTTCCTGATTTTAAAATAGCTAATGTATTAGCTGTTAGTCACAAGCCTGATACAACATAACCACCCCATGCAATACACTCACACTGGTCAAATCTGGGATACTGACATCATCCACCTCAGAGACAACGCTGCCCCTCCGATTGGAGCGGCTAAAATAATCAGCGGCAGAAACCTTTGTCAGAAAAAAATGAGATGATTTAAATTAAGAAAAGAGAGCAGAAAAAGATAAGAACATTGGCATATAGAAAGAAAATTTTTTTTGGTATGTGATAAAGTATCATGAAATGAAAGAATTGAATAGCAATTAAGCTACTCAAAAAAGTTTTAAAAAATGTGAAGGGATTCAGAAATGAAATCACAGCTCTCTCAGATAAGCTGTTATTTATCCTAACTAGAGTTCCACAGAGATCATTTACTGCCCGAGGGCCAGCAAAGTCTCCTATGTTTAATACATGCATTGTCCCCACCAGGAGGGTTTCTAAGATAATATATACCTACAGCGCCTACTACTTTTCACAAAGTTTATCATTCATTTTAGCTACCAATTCTGTTAAGCATATACATGCTGAATGCAGAATTATTTGCTGGGTATTTACTGGACCTATTACCCAATTTCCACAGTTCCCTCTTTTTTAAATTCCTCAATATCAGGAACTGTAGAACAGTAAAATCAAAGAACTATGTTGGACTCTTTCTGGTTCCCCAAACATACCCAGTCTTCCCAGCTTAAGACTTTGGCAGTGGCCTAAAAGCTCTGCTCCCAGCTCCTCAAGTACCTGGCTCCTCACATTTCAAGTGTCAGCTCAAAGGTCATGTCCCTTGAGAAACCTTCCCTAACCACCTCATCCAAATGGACACACATACCCCGCTCAATGTTGACTAGCTTATCACCTGCTTTTTCTCTTCACAGTCCCAGGGTTACTTTCTTTTTGTTCCTTTCTTTACTAGTTTATTTTCTACTTCTTTCACTGGATATGAGCTGCATGAAGTCAGAAATCTGGTCTGTCTGGTTTACCACATTACTTCCAGCACTTAACAAAGTGCCTTGCATATAATAGGTACTCCATAAACGCTTGTTGAATTAATAAATAATGGACATTTTTACCTCACTCATCCACAATTCTTTACTTCAGCTCTTCTTTACTTCAGCTCTGATTACCTTGCTTAAAAACTCTTCCCTTCCAGGAAGGGAATCTGAAAGCCTATCCACAGAGACAAGACTTAAAACTATAAAGTTTTGCTAAGGGCTAATACGATCAAGCAATAGTATTTTTACTGACAGTGACAGTAATACAACTTATATTTACACATATCTAGGATTTTATTGGTACCTGTTTCAGAATTTTGATAGTTATTTTCTATATAGTAATTCATTTACTCCATATATTAAGCCTACCTACAAAGACAGTAACACTTCCATTGTAAAAATAAAGAAACTGCCATTAACAGACTAACTAATGAGTTGTAGAAGTGGTTCGAGCTCAGGCACCGTGACTTTAAAGTCCCTGCCTTTCCAAGATGCTTTCATGATAGTGGCTTGTTCTTTCTCTTTCAGCTATGGGTATGAGCATTCGTTGGCTTGCCAATGGGTCACAACTGCCTTACTTAAATCATTGGCTTTCGGGGCAACAACTCTCACAAACACTTGGTGCTCCTCTTCTCTATGAAACGTCGGGTTTACAATCTTTCACAAAACATGACTTGTATTAAAAAGCCTTCTATTTTTCTTAAAGGAATTGTAGCCTCCAAGTTATTGGGCTCTTTGTTTTGGCTCTGAGCTGACACACCATCCTTACCAATGTAATTTTCAAATCAGTTCTTAAATATAGCAAAAATGTCATTGGCTCTCTGTAACATTTCCAGCTTCATCAAAAGAATAACCTGAAATTATATAATTTGTATTCTAACATAGCTATTAGTTGCCTCTACAATTATTACTCCAGTTGAATTCTAAGACCAGAATTTTCAAATTTTGCCATTGGAAACTCTGAAAATATTCACGTCTTAAAAGATGTATAAGCAATGGTTAAACTTAAATACACAACAAAGAAAGCAACTAATAACATGACTTGTAACCCTTAGTTATAAGTTTTACACAATGTAGGAGCCTTAATTTTGCTTAAAATGTTTTGTTTTTGGTGAATTGTGCACATAAACATATGTGGGTAAAACAGCAACAAAAAATAAAAAGTGAAAATCTTTCCAATACACAATGACTAGCACACAAGAGGTGTGAAGATGCAAGTTATTAATGAAAGCTTACACAGACCACTGAGAATATATTTTCTCAAGAACACATTTTGAAGGCTAATTATTCCTATAAGTTAAATGTGAGAAAAATACTCGTTTTGCCAAATGCAAATTTCACTTTCCTGTAGATTTCAAATGATCACACAGTTCTGCCATTTTAAAACGCATTTCATGTGTTTGCATGCAAACCACGCTCACCACACTCTCCCTTCGCCCATGACTGGAACGACCAGAAGACGCAATGCTTGCAGTGTCATCATCGATAAACTATAGATATTAAAAGCAGATAATGAAAAAAATTCAATATCACTACAGGTCTAACATGACTGTAAGCATATTAGGTAAGGTTTGGGAAACATGCAAATATACTACAGAAGTAATAATTGGCACTGTCTGTTGCACATCATTAAATACAAAAGATGTTTCAAGATATGATGAACTATCATTAAAAACCAAAAGATATTTCCAAAAAGCACAAAGAATAAAATAGTACTTTAATCTTTTAAGTTAAATTAATCTTTTAAGTTAAATTTACTCAGGAGCATGAGTAAACCAGCCAAAACTAGCTAGGGATTTCATGTTTAAACCTCTAGGCTCTTTGGAATCCTGTTAGGGGTTAATAAATATATTTACTGTTTCCGTTAGGGAGAGAAAATAAAAGGATATTTTAAAGTGAACTAATATAAGTCAAAGACAGAATTTCCTACCAGCAAGGACACTGAAATGATGATTCTTATTTTCCTTTATTCATTCCTATGCAACTAGTGGAGATATTTCTAACATCGCCCTACAGTTTTCTTCCTGTTTCACCAGCAGTAAAAGACTCATCTTCAGTACGTGTAGGTTAACTCCATTCTGACATCACTAAGAAACCATTCTGGCATCACTAAGATAATAACTCTGAACCCCGCTTGCAAATGAAAGAGCATCTAGCCAGGAAACAAGGACAAGATTCTACACTTGACTGCAAATATATTGCAACAATTTTGTTTGCAAAGGCCATTATACTTGGGACATTAAAAATGCTACCAGGCTCAAGACGTGCCAAGTGGAATTTTATTACCGAGTGGATTAAAAGTAAACTTCCTCCTAAGGTGAAAAAGCTGTTACCTCCTTAAACATCCCTGAGTAATTATTTGTTAACTATAAGAGTGGCATCCTTGAGAAGTGCCACTTGGAAATGGCAGGAGGACTGAGGCAAACATATATGTAAAAGAAAGCCCACATAGCTTACCTGTCCCACGCCACAAAGTAAAACGTGTTGACTATTTACTAAGAAACTGTTTTAATAACTTCTCTAATTTTGACTTCATCAAGAATACCAAGGTAGCTCCTAAAGTCATAATTTCCTATTGGAATTATAAATTAGCAGTCTTTTTTGGTGGGCAGTATGGCAATATACATCATAATTTAAATGTACATACTCTTTGATCCCCCCATTTCATGATTAGCAATTCACCTTGAAGATCTACTCATATAATTACACAAAAATATACTTGTATAAGAATGTTCATTGTACGAGTGTGTCTGTAGTAGCAAAAATCTGATAATCTCAGTGTCCATCATTAGGGGAGTGATCTTTGAAATGTACAGCACATGGACTAATGGAATAACTTATAGCCATTAAAAAGAAAGTGCAGACATAAACTATCTCCAAGAGGCATTTAGTGGAAAAAGTAAGGGGCACGGTTTACTTTTCAAAAATCTTTTAAATGTCAAAGAATGAAATAAATCCTTATGTATTAATCCAAAATATACTTTAACAAGTGAGGAACAGTATGTGTGAGTCCATATACATACTGTTCAAATAAAGGACATTCACATATGTCCTGTGAAAAAAATGCTCAAGTAGAGGCTTCCCTCAAAAAATGGAAATGGGAGAAATGGTCAGGAGACTTTTACTTTGGACTTTCCTTAAACTAATATTACTTTTATAAATTAAACATAATTTAATACTCCAGAAAGATTAGGTGATTAGAATTGTCCCTGTTTTGTCTTTTATGTAACAATTTTTAAAAGTTGATTGGTTTTATTCTTCTTCCACTCCACTTGGAAGAGCTGGCAAACAAGTGAAATGGCTCACTGCAGGAAACAGAGATGGCACGGAGAAACACAAGGTAGCCAACTCATACACTGAATCGTGACCACTGAAGAGACAAGAAGTTCCACACGAATGACAATAACATATAAACTTTTAAAAAATTCTAATGATATCGGTTCCAGACTCATTTAAGAAATTACATGCTAATTCATACTCATACAGAAACCACTAATTAGGACAAATTAGTACTCTGAGTTTGTGTACTTAAAGAAAATGATAATCCATGCACAAGAGAGTGAAACACACCACATTCTCAATATTCTAAACTGTGAGTACAGATTAATGAAACAACCAAAAGTTTCCATAAAGCATGCAAAGAGACTAGACTGCTCACCACAGGACTGCTTCGGGCTGAACTTGTCCTTGATGAGTAATAACTATATTCAGATGGCTATAAAGTTTCCAAGAAAAAAAGTTTTACAATAATGATCAGCTCTTTGTCCTGCTGGGAATATATTAGTGACCTTGGATCTAACATGCCCCTGGCTCCCAGGGTCAAGGTAACTGTGACTCCCTAGCCTAAAATTCTACCTCACTCCCACCCTCAAGCCCATGGCAGGAAGAAAAAGAGAGGAAGTAGATGCCCTGAGAAGGACTACTCTCTTCCTGAACAAGAAAAGAGGTTCCTCTATTTATACTCCCTCGTATTTTAAGCCATGAGTTCCAGCATGCATTTTCTCACAGTTTGGGTGAGTCACTATTGGCTAGCTGATGGATCACAGCTTGTAGAGTATTACAGGTCAGATGAAATGACTTTTTCAAATTTCTTAGTAAACTGTGCCCACCTACACATCACCCTCCTCACCATCTCCCCCTGGGTAGACTTACAGTTCGAGAACCATAAGGGTTATATAATCCACCATCATACAATGATACCTAAAGAACAAAGGAAATACCATTTATCTATTCAGCATCAAAGTTATTTTGAGAATGTTATAACTTCTTTGCAGTATTCAGTTCCAAAAAAGTTTTGACGAGTGGTATAAGTGAACAGCCTCCCAAGGTAAAGTTTCTAAAGGTGATAACGCTCATTTATATGCATAAGTTCATATATCAGTCTCCTTAAAACTTCAAACTCACGCTTCATTTAAAAAGCACGTTATAGTAGTTCCTTTAATTATCATGTGATCGAACTAGGAGAACTAACATTTATGAATTTATTATCTCAAAAGAGGAAATAGAGCAGGAAAGTTAAGTGAAATAGAAAGCATTTTGCCCGCTGTCACAATAGAATTAAGTTACAAAGCCTCAGGTTCCCAGTCTACTTGAACAGACCATGACACAACAAACGACAGCTTGAAAGCAACCAACTTATAACTTGCACATTACAAAGAGCTATTGTTCTGCTTTCTAGTCAGCTTGCTTTACTACAGCTTAGTATTAATGTGGCCGAGGCCACAGCTGTCCCAAATAAAAATATGACATCCCGACCACAGACAAGCCATCTCACAAAAGTATGCAAGCGTAGTGGGACTCATGCGAAATCTATCTTCTTTATAGGAAACCAATTCTAAGCAAGGGCCTACCAACAGCCAGCAGTATCTACCGCCATGAAGAGAATATGCTCATTTTTACTCCCCTAAAGTTTTGTATTTTAAGCAAAAGCCACACACTCTGCAGTACACATAGTACTAAAGCTATGTGTTCTTGACGATTTTGGAGGGAAGTTGTCAAGCCAGAGTCAGCACCATGACAGTGGCCCCACCAGGAGTACACGTGCTGGAAGAGGAAAATACAAACCAGACTGGTGCTTCTCAGCAGACCAGAATTTGCAGTAGGTAAGGCCTATGAAAAAAGCACATGATTTAACCCAAAGGAAGGCAACTGGTAGTTTTGAAGGCAACATATTTCTCAGAAAGTACTAACCCTGTTACTCTTAGATGTTGCCAGAGGGTCACTGTAGAGGGAAGAAGACTGCTAAGAAAGAAAAACAAAACAATGAAATGAGAGAGAAAGAGAGAGAGAGAGGGAGGGAGAGAGGGAGGGAGGGACTGAAGGAGGGAGGGAGAGAATAAGAATAAGAAAAAATATGAATTGATCTCACCGTCATGAGGTCAGAAGACTTATGTTTATTTTATACTCCAAAATTCATTAGCAATTCCTGAGTGCTTAAAGTACTTAAGTTACACATGAAGTGAGAGAAACTTAATCATTAGAAATCTTTTCAAGTACCAATTTTAAGGGATAAGAAAGAAAAACACTTGGAATAGTTTTCTATACATTATTTACGTTCTATTGGTCTTTGAACATTAATGTTAGGAGATGGGACGGCAACCTAAGAAAACACTCAGGAAAAGAGGGCCATGGCACAGGGAGTGTGGCCAACTGTGGCCACATCCCAGTCACCAGCAGCTCTTGTGATATTTTCAATGATCTCACGTCAAATTCCAAATGGCCTTAGCCTGATTATTGGGGATCCAAGTAAGTAAGCACTAAGTTATCACTGTAAACACTCTTTTCCATGTGTCTGGAAAAGAACAGAAAAACCTGTATTTCCAAACAAGTATGGACAAAGTACCTTGTTTAATCAGGTAGAACGTACTGGTCACAATGAATCCATGCACTACCGAGGCACACCATTTTTTAAAAAGGAATTAAATCTTTTTTTCCTGACATCATTTGAAGACACACTTTTCAATTCCTTTTTACCAGGCTTAATCAGACACAGAAAATAATAAGAGTATCTAATTGTGTGCGTAGGTTTTGACAACCGAATTATTTTAAGTGTACTGTGTGCTATATTTAATGCATTTTAAATGTATGATGTGCCAGATGCCTTGAAAAAAACAAAGGTTTTAACATTGGGCAAATAATTATATTCTTCTCATTCCACTTACAGTTTAAATTTTCACATGTAAGCTTTCATTAAAAGGGCATACACATAATGTGTACTGATGCCTACAATTATTCTGAAATGCACCCCCCAAAAAAGATGGATTGATGGATGCATAGAGGGACGGATAGATAATTAATAAATGAAACACAGTAAAATGTTAATTGTAGAATGTAAGTGATAGGTACTGGGTGGTTACTAAGCAATTCTTTGAATTTTTTTGTATGTTAAAAGTTTTTTGTCAGAAAAAAATTTTTTAGTGGTACTCACAAATATGGTAATTCAATAGTTTCCACTGTTTAAATTTACTCACATGGAGTATATGAATTCAGTTACCACAAACTAGTATAGCCTAACCAGCCATTCACAGATTAGTTCTAACTATTCAAAATGCAAAATAGGACATTAGAAATGTGTTAAAGTTGGATAAAACAGGAAGCCAAAAAACTCTAGACAAACCCGAGTGTAGTAGGCAGAGGTGGGTTTGCTATGTCTAAGACTGCTATAGCTTCTCTGGTCAAAGTAGAGGCCACTCTGCAAGAAGCAAAATCAAACACATTTTTCTTAGGTTAAAAATGGTTAACCTAACAGCACACAAAGGCAAAATCTGAACACACAAAAGCAAGATCTGAGATTGCCAAACCCCTTGCCCCCACAAACAATGACTTTAGAGCATTAAGTAGTACTGAATAAAAATCAAAATAATAATTTCAATCTCTCAAAAAAAGATTAATATTTAAAGTTAACTGTTTTCAAAGAAATTACTTTTGTTTTTTTTTTTACTTTAAAAACACGAATATAAACCTCAGGTAAAATGGAATGAAAATAAGTGATTTATTTTCATGTTATACATAGGCATGTCCTTGAAAAATCCAGGACAACTGAATAATTGCCACTTTTATAATCCACTTGGCAATGTCACAGCTATTATTAAACAGTCATTTTTTCCAAACTTCTCCTAGATCTATTATTTGTCAAAATAAACTGATCAAATTAAATTACCAATGAGAGAGAAAAGAGAGAACACACCAAATATGGTCTGGTCTAAAACATCTATGGTGGTTTATGTTCAATACACTGTACAAAATAGTAATCCTATATATTGTGGGGGGTTTTTTGGTGGGGGAGAGGGGGCGGAATTCCCTTCCTAACTTCTACAGCCATTGTTTTTAACTCAAGGTTAAGGAAATTCAGGCAATTCCTGACTGAAAGCCTCCTCCACTGTCGACACTGTAATCAGGGACATCTTTACTCCTACCCAACCCCTGCCTCTCCTGGCCCTGCCTTCCTCCATATACTCACCCTCCATGAGGCACCATGAGTCATCTCTCCCCAGAGTCCCCAATACTCGACCCTCCGAGCCTTCTTACTAAAGTCCTCTCCATTATATTCTCTCCTCCCTCCTCCTTTCTACAAGCCAAAGTCTCCTGAGCCTCTCTCCACCCCAGCAATGGTCAGAGCCCCTACTGTGGGAACCCTGAATTAGCAAGGAGTTTGGGACTGCACGTCCTTTGCCAGTACGGTGGCAGCCTAACAAGGAACAGGTGTTCCCAGCATCACAAATAGGCATTCTGGGCACATTTGTTTTCCCCATAGAAATGTTGTTTAGCAAGGTGGCTGGAATAGAGAGCACTATTAGTGCTTCAGTTTAATCACATTATAAGTAAAAGAGTCTTCTGCAAGACAGCATGGGAACTCTGTCGCTGAATACCTTAATGTACCTACCAGATAATTTATTCCAAGTTCTCAAAATCAGACCTACTAACAAACTTTTAGGATGAAGCCTATTTGTGAGTTTGATACTACCTATAATACCACAATTTAATCTATTTTAATTTCTAAAGGATAAGAATGTCTCACTTAACCTATTCTTGAGGTATATTCTAAAGGACAGTTCATATATGAATATACATTGTTAAGGAACTTCTTTAGAGGTTGTGACACCGTCCAACCTCTAGCCCTCAGGATTAGTGTATATTAACTTAATATTAAATTTTATATTGAAAACAAAATTATTTTTAAATAAGGTTCTGGCAAATCATGTTCCAGTATATTATCAAATCGCACATCGAAGCAGTCATAATTCTTAAGTTCTCTAAAAGTAATCAGCAGCACAAGATAATGTGATACGAGACACAACGGAACTAACCAGCAGGTCTTTATGAGAACCAGCTCTCTTCTTCATTCCATAAGAATGATTCTGAAAGTAAACATTTGAAGTTAAATATATGAAGAATAATAATTATGTAGTGAAGTTTTAAAACTAATTTAACGAAATTATACACAGAAAGGTCCATATGAGTTACAGAGTAGTCTACATGCAATCTAATTTCCAGCTGTTAGTAAATGATTCACTGTACTTGACTGGCTAAGATATAACACCTCTTTGCACATCTGCACTTCCTCTTACCTACCCCTGGGCCATCCAGCTCAGTGTCTAGCCAGCTAAAAAATAATTAATTAGGACACAGCCAGGCAGGATATTTGTGGGACCTTCACTCAACACCTCATTTGAGTCGATCTTTTTTATAAAGGTATGGTGACAAAGAAGTCCACTTCCTTCTATAGTCTTCCTTACCTAAAGGCCATAAAACAATCCTTTGGATCAATAAAAAACAAGGTTGAGATAACAAAGAACATGATATTGCACTGCCCCAGACAGTATTCCTAACCCAAGTTAGTGGTCCCATGGTATGTGCTGCTCAGGAGGAAAAAAGCAAAGATGGTATGGCTGTCCCGCACAGCAGCAGCATTATTAGACAACAACCTTATACATGAGCCCTTTGAAGATAGCACTGTCCTGATACATAACTTCTTCTAGGAGTACAGAGCCAAGTGTGTATGCCAGGATAAAGAACTACTACTACTAAACAGGTCAATTGGTAGACAAGAAATCCAATCTAGGTAGGCTCTGCTTGCCTGAAATAAGGACGTGCAGCTAGAAGCGTCCTACCCATGAACAGTCTGCTCTAGGCAGTCTATGATATGCGCAGCTGGAACCCAAATCAATGACTACAGACTCATTTCTCTTTCATGAGATATCTATATCTTTCCTTTTGTACATTGCCTGAGCATTTTAAGAGATGTCTATACAGCCTAGAAATTCAGGCAATCTATTGACATAATATTAAAACATGCTATAGCTTAACTTCCTTGGCTAAAATGACATACCATAAAAAACAAATCAAACTAAGCAAAAATGAGTGGACATAACTGATGTTTCAGGTATCCACTGTCACTGCTGGAAATTTTCTGTTTAGCAAAGTCACACCTGCTAGCTTCTGACATCTAGCATGAAATACAGTGGGCCTGTGCTGCTATAGTTCAATGTGTACCAAAACTCTGCTAGAAACATGGCTTCTGGGGGCGACGAGTAGGTGTCAGATGGGTGGTTCATCATTCTAAGAAATGATATTGCTACCAATCTTAGTCCTGAATAGGAAGGCAAATAATTTTTATATGATCCTAAAATTCTAAAGGAAAGTATTCAAATGTTAATCATGCCACAACTGCAAAATAATAGTTTTTGCTTTGTTAGTCATGTTTTCCCCAAACATCATAACAAACCTGTGAAAATCAGTCACACTCTATGATTAGTATCATCAGGTATTTATAAACTAAAACTACATTTAACACAAAGTCATGCACTACATACTAATGATGAAAGTCTCGACGATTTATCCTTGAGAGGATCATACTGGATTTCAGAAAAAGATGAAAGTTGGTGGTATTTCCAAAATCAGAAATATAAAGAGGGAAAAAAGTAACATTTGCAAAGTTATTAAAAATCCAGCACTACTTAAAAAGCCCAAAATTATTAAACACAAAGGCTATTACAGTGAATTAAAGAATATTCTCCTCCCCCCCTTTCCTAGTATAAGTTATTGCTAAACTATAATGTAAAACTGCATGTTCCCTTTCAAATACAGACTTCATAATCGGTAATGGTGAGATGATTCAATCTCAGTACACTAGGAAAAAACACACTAAAAGATGGCTTAAAATAAAAGAAATAAGCATTCTGAAGTCCAGATATGTTTTACTTTTTAGTGTTGTGACTGTTACCATCATTTCCCATCATTTGAACAGGATAAAAGCAAGGCAAAGACAGGCAGTGAGGCAAAAGCACATAACTAATCAAGCTTACAAGAAACAACTACAGCATCAAAATAGGGGACTTCCCTTGGATCTGCTTATAGACACACACCTGAAAAAATGCCCTCCCCAAGAACATTCCCTATTAAAAATGCTGAACAAAACCAGAAAGTTGCTCCAAGCATAGTGTGGAATGCACAGTATACATAAGTGTGGCGTTAAGTATAAATCAAAGAAAAATATATAAAATTTATGATAAAAACAGAAAGCCACATTTCAGGTAGGGTCTTTAAGAAAATTAGATAATACACGGACCACCACATTTCAAACCCAAAAACTGAATTATATCGGTGGTTTCCTAATTGTTTTTAAAGCATTCTAGCTTATATTTTTTTAAGCAATCTTACCCAGAGAAGCAATGTATACAAAAAAAAAATAAAAACAATGAATAAGTTCTTCAGGTAGTTTGGTGTATATACATATCTTTCTTTTGCAACTCTTATACCTAGTTAGGATAGTAGGAAACACTAATGAAAACTTGATCTAGAGTAATGTTTTACTAAGTGCAGGTTGTAACTCATGAGTAGTTCATGAAATCGGTTTGCGTTCAACCAGAATTTTTTTTAAAAAATGAAATAGAAGAAAAATATCAGAGTATATCATACACAGTAAGAGTAAATATTATTTCATGAAACTTTGTTTCATATTGTATTTATTGAAACAAAGACATATCTGCAGGTGTATACTGGATCACGGTATAAAATGCATTTCTTGTTGTAAAGTCTACAATTTTAAAAAGCTTAAAATATACTGGAAGACCAAATTATACAACCTAGTTCTAATAAAACATTAAAATAAGAGTTCAAGCAGAACAAAGTCCCTCCCTTCATGCCCAATGAGATGGTCATTTATAAAAGATACTGCAGAAACCCCCAGAAATATATTTCAATAGTATAAGGCTAAGTAGTACAATTACACCACTGGTATAAATTCAATGAAAACAATACTGTAATAATCCAAAAAATATTGGAGCAAAATATCTGCATTTGCATGCTTTTCTTATATTATCCTGAAATTAACAGCAAAGGCAAGCAAAAAAGTGTTACTATGTGAGTAAAAAGATAAATCTTGTTTATATGAAATTTTCTAAAGTGCCTAAAGGTGTGCATTTGGTAAATGATGTGCAATGATAAATGACACTGTATAGTGAGTGACATTTCCTTGAAAATAAAGTTCTTTCTCTAAAGAAATTTCATGTACTTCTTTTATCAGTTAACAAATTATCGTTTTTATTTTAAAAACACCACAGCCAAAACATATTACTTAAGCCAAACCTTCTAGCATACGAACTACTCCATCCTCTGAACCAGATAAGTTCATTGAAAAGAATAGTCATGTCTTATTTCTTTCCATCCTTTCTGTAGTGCCAACGGCATTTTACAAAGGCATAGGATTTAACAAAATGAACAGAAACTAACCTATGTCAATTTTCCCTTTCCAAAATATAATACAGAGTTAAGCTGGTTTTAAAAGATTGCTGAATCTACCTAGTAGGAAAATCCATAACTTGGACACCCCAATCGTTACGAGAACCACTGGGTAAACCAAAAGAACTAATATCCCCCCACCAAGTGACAGTTGTATTTATGTTGTTTAAAAACAAAATAATTCATCAAAGGAAGGAGAATTGAAAATATGAGGGCTCTAGCTAAAACATTTCCAAATTTTCTATTATAATCTATCAAAATGAAAAATTTTTAACTCTCAGAGAAACTTGCCCAAAGGTTTTCATCTGGAAATAAAATCAAAGGTATAGCAAACAAGTTGTAAAAACAAAGTTCAGGAGGTATCAATTTCTATTAGAATGTACCAATTACTCAAGCCCCCAGAATTCTGAGAGTCAACAACGAAGGCATAATACTAACACTGCACATTTTTCTGGACTACACACCATGATGTCTTTCCTTTTGAGTGTACTGGCTCTGCTCCAATGTGTTCCGGTTATATCCTTCGATGGGCTCTTCAACAGAATTAAACAGTGTAGCAGCAGTAAATGACAAAAAATAAATTGGAAGCATATTAAAATTGAATTCATTAAAATTATACAAAGGCCATTGACATATAAACAGGAACTAATATATACAAAAAAAAAAAAAAAATCTCCACCAGTGAGAAATAGCAATGTATCCTTACTGTTCTGATTCAAGATCACCTCATTTTCTAATTTTGGATGGCTATCTTATAGTCTTCTTGTATTTCAGTATATAAAGCAGTGACCAAGTATTTGCAAGATGTGTTTGGGGGGGGGCGGCGGTTTTAAGACATACTGTTTTTTTAAAGCAACAGATTGTTTCAATTCTAAACTTGGGGTTTTTATTTAATCCTCCCTCCCCAAAACTTATCACTCACAGTCTTAAACCATTTTTGCTCTTTTTATTTTAATACAGAATGTCTATAGCATTGACACAATTTCCAGCCCAAACAGCTCTGGCAGGCCACCTTTCAAGAAGGCAGTATCTGAAAGTTAATTGCACGAAAGGAAAGATCAAAGTCCTAAGAATGAGATATAAACCATAAATACAACTGCTTCACTTCCAGGTACTGCTAATGTTCATACATCAAATACAAGGTCCAAAAGTGGTAGACTTTTAAATACGTGGCTCATAAGTAAAAATAATATTTTAAAAGATAACTGGCAGAGAAATACCAAAACCCAAAAATTAAACAGCAAACCCCAATAAAATCTAGGTCAGTGTTTTAGGCCACCACATTTATTTTTACAGAGAACAAATGTTGTCTGTATACTCAGCTTGTAAATGTAAATGGTAAAGGAATTTTAAAAGGCAAATAATCTGATGAAAACTTAGAACTCCTAATATTATCTAGTTAAAAGAAAAGAACTAATCTCATTTATACTTCTTTTAAACAATGTTATTTCCAGGAAAGTCTAAATATTTAAAATGTGCTGGATATAAACCTACACACGGTAAAGTACTAGAGTCTCCTCTAGGGTGTAAAATTTTTATTAATACTTTAATTCACACACTGATTTTTTTAAATATTGGGAGCTTTACTCTTTTTCCCATAGCAACAAATTTTCATAATTACCATAATGAAATAAAATACTGTGAGAGTTCTGGTTATATCTTAAATGTATTTAATGATATAATTCCCATAAAAAGAAAATCAACTCATATAATATAGAATAATGAGTTGATTTTCTTTTTATGGAAATTATATTCTATGTGTAACAATTCCTTATTAGCTTACTTACAAATTTCTTTTTTGTTTGTCTTCAGATTTGTTTTAAAGACTCTTGAATTAGGTTGAACTTCCATGGTTTTACCATTAGGTTAAACTAATATACAATAACCAAGTTTTCCTGAGGTCGCATACAAATTTACAAATAACCAGCTTAATAATAACTGTGAAACTTCATACTGTGAACATTATCATAGAAAGCAAAAAATAAAAAAATAAAAAGCCATACATTTTTAAAAAGTGTAGAGAGGGGATTATTTTCAAAACCCTCAAGACACTCAGCTTCTAAGCTTTTATTGACTAATTCCCTTTATGATTCTTTTCAAAGTGTTTAAGAAAAAAATACCGACAAACCAGTCCAGTGCATGGTTTGTGAGCTCAAACGCATATATATTCACACACACACACACACACACGCATATATATCTAGGGAGAAGCATGACAAATTTATTGTCCTGAAGTTTTTCTCCAGTAAAATTCTGAAGCTGCTGATTAGATTTCTGCAACGGCTTCTTAATATTCTTATAAATCTAAACTTTTGTAATTAACCATCATACTTATGATTCAAACACTAGTTTACTAACTTACTCTAAAAAGACAGTAATTATATTTCTTTTAAATGTCATTAGTGAACTTTCAGATTTATTTCCAATAAGAAGTATAACCAGAGTAAATAACTATTTAAGAATACAAACACATCAATAACTAACATACCAGAACATATTTAGTTTCATTACAGTATATTTTTATACATTATACAAGATGGGAAGAAAACTAGAGTTGGAGGAAAATTAACAAATATAGAACTTAACATAAGAGATTACTTAACCAATGAAAAAAGTTGGATGTAAGTATATATATATTATCAATGTGCAAATTAAAAGTATTGCTTTAAAGTTTAAAGCACAATTCTTTAAGAAGAGAGAGATCAGTGTATTGGCACAATATGCAAGTCTTTAATGAATGACCTCTCATTTATCTTGATTTACAACAATGTATGCTAAAAACCTGAGGCACACTGCAAAATGTTAATCAAAATGTTGAAGCATGATAATTTCTATAAGTATGACAAGGGAATTTTTCAAATCAGTAGCTCAATTTTCCATGCAATAAAACTATAATTAATCATTCGAGCCTCAAAAAATTTCCCAATCGTTATTTTTAAAAATATGAAAATAGGAAAAATCTGAAAGTTAGAACCATGCAGATGTTATTCTGTAAAATCAATCTTATTATTTTGTGACTATTTTCTAAAATCAGAGGTCATTTTATAGAAAAAGAGTACATATGATAATAGATGAAAATATTCATGATTTTAAAATTGATTTACTTATAGCAGTAATTTGAGAGAAAGTATCACTGCAATGGAAGGACTTTGCCAACATTTTCTACTTTAAAAAAAAGCAAAAGAATATATGAACATTCTCAGATTGCTTAGGAAATGGTGTAGTAGCTTTGCTACTGTGGTGTAAACAGCTTAAAGTACCAACCCTGTGACTGCCAAGACTTCGAATGGACAATGCCTCCTCAACTCCCTGATAAAAATAAAAACAAAAGTTTGTGAGCGACTATGTTAAGTTAATGAGGAAAAGTACTAGAGGCAAGTTTACAAGATATTACAAACCGGATAAGGACGATGATGACTGGACCGGTGGGAATACCTGGCCCTTTCCGAATCTTCCTGGGAAAGGAGAAAGTACACGGAGAGTTAATCACTGAATAAAGGGTAATCTACCAGAACAACTGAGCAAAGCACAGTCAGTTAAGAGCACAGCTGTGTCTTCCTTACAGCAAGCAGGTGTGGACTGCTCAGTTTCAAAAGCTAAGTTTGGGGCAGTCACATGCTTCAGTTGGAAAGAAAGTGGAAATAATCTTGGTAATGTTTTTTTATTTCAACAAGTTTATGTATGTCTGACCACTTGTAGAATGTAATCTACACATGACGAAGAGAGTTCAACATACCAAGATAAAAATAAGCAAGCATACTTAACAAAGAGAAATTGAGTTCAGCATTCAAAGTCGACTTTTATCTATATTTTTCAATGTGAATGTTAAGTTTATGCAAGGAAAGAAGAAATGTTTATTTTATTGGAGATGTATTAAGGAGACAGTTTATACCTTTAGAAAGATTTGAGTTATAATTTTCTGCTCACTGAAAAAAATGTCTTTCACCATTTTAACTGGAAAAGAACAACCTAATGACTCTGAGTACTGTTAATATGAAAAACTACTAAAAATCAGAAGAAACTGGATAAATATTTTAGAGCTAGTAAAGTTATTTCAAAAGTTATGCCTTCTGAAGAGAGCAAAGTGACTACAACCTAAAAGTTGACAAATTAAACGCAATTCTAAATTTTTCCACGTTTATCTATTAGCAATGGAGCATTAAGTCCAAACGCCTAATCCCTAGAACCTAATCAACTGAAACAGTAAGAAACTTCTGCTCTTCAGAATTTAAGGTCCTAAGTGTTAAAGTAAATTGCACTAAGATTCTAATACAATTGGTTCAACTGGGGTCATGACTGATGACAGTGATGAATCAATACCTACAGCATCAGCATTACAGAAGTAGAATAGATGTGACTGTACCTGTTGATTCATTGCAAATACAGAAAGAGTAATTCGACTGAAACATCACATTTAATGTCTTATTTCGTCATGATCTTTAAATATAATTCCAAAAAATTCATTTGTCATCTGCTGTGTACATCGACACATTTGATCAAATCTCTTCAGAAGTCTACTTATAAGCACTACTATGATTCAATGAGTCAATGTCCAATAGGGTGTTCTGATCATTAGGAATTCATTTACATTTTTGTTATATAAAAGACACATGTAATATGCAAGAAGCCAAGCAAATTTCTTTCCTTTGACTATCAGGTGATACCACAAAAGTTCTGGGGACATATGCATTAGCCCAGAAGGGTAGGTACAGTTAATTAAGGGGTAACTGCTTCTAAGCTAGTTAGCTTGGTTAAAAAGTCTTGTGCCACAAAGACAGGTTAATTCTACATGCCCCCTCCCAGGATTATTTGGCGGATTAGAGTGATACACATGATTTAATGTTAAATTTTCCTTTTATTCTGTCCTTTCTTTTCACTCCATCTACCACACAAAGGCATTTTTTAAAAATCTACCTCTAAAAAACACATCCCATTATAGATGCAGCAAAGACAAATTAATTCACATTTATTTTTAATTATGCCTATTGCAAAAATTATAAATAAAATACCTTAAGTGTTAATAGACCTCTATGTTTAAACAGCTCTTTTAAGCCCCATTTGAAAAAATAAGGCTAAAAAGACTTCAGAAGACTACTGAATAGAATGTAAACCCCATACAGATCAGCTAATTTGAAATGAGAGGATATAATTTATTTCAGTCATAAACTATATCTTAAACCAGCACTGTCCAACAGAACTTTCTGTAACAATGGAAATGTTCTATGCTGTACTGTCTAAGAGCGTAGCCACTAACTACATGTGGCTACTGAGCTCGTGAAATGCTAGAAGTACAACTGAAGAACTAAATTTTTAATTTTAATCAATTTCACTCTAAATCTAATTACCTACATATGGTTAGCGGGCTATGGTACAAACAGCAAGGCAAGCTCAAAGCAAATTATTATACCAAAAAGACTCAAAACACATGTTTTAACTAAGAGTCTGCCACACAGCACCACCACTCGTATAAAAAGGCAGGCATTTAGGTAGTTTTTAATTACTCCCCCTACCTTGAATACTTTTGCATAGTGGTACATATGAAGGAAATAGAAGGAAACCTTGTATGAAAGAAAAGACCCTAGCACCAACAATAGAATTATTTTTAGAGCTAGAAGGGTCCTCAGATATCCTCTAGTGATCCCTTCATTGTGCAGTAAAAAAAAAAAATTGCAGCACAAAAAGATTAAGAATCTACAAAGTCAGAAAGCTGGGACCAGCATTCATATCTTTTGACTCACTAGTCAACTAAACCATAAAGATTCTATCCTATAGCAGCTAAATCTACACTGATTACATTGAAAGAACATAAAGAAAACAGCAAGGTATTCTGGTTTTTACACAGAGATTTCTCTTTATCTGGAAGAATAAAGAGCTTCATTTCTCAAGTATTACTAGAATAGTATTTAAATTGCCAACTGGCTTTCCTTAAATTAATAACACCAGGGGCACATAGAAAAAAATTCAGCAAACTTTTTTTAGGTGCCCCTCACAAGGCAGAGCATCACTCTCTTCCACAGTCAGGAAAACATAACCTATTTGTTGTCCTGGGAGTCCTTATATTAGTATAAAAGATCCAAGGCTGAACAAGCAGGACAATGCCTTAAAAGATGGATATATATTTGTTTAAAGCTTTCTGGAAAATTATGTTTTGCTACAGTTAAATTAATGGAAATGAAACCTACTGTTTTTAAAAATTCACTTGAAATGAGAAAAAAGTGATTTTATTTTTTAAAAACCCACAGCCCTATGAATAAATCTGGCCATCTTCTCTGTCAACAAAGAATATTTAAGTCAAAGCTGGAACCATTCCCCCAGTTTTAAACTAGGAAACTTCAGAAACTGCACATACTCTTTCAGGTCACCAACAGCTACTGATTAAGATACCCAGTTTAAAAACAGAATCACCAGCTAGACTGTTTATTTGAAGGCCCAGAAAGACTTAGGCCCTTTTCTTACTGGTCTTTTTGCCTCCCAATCCATTAGTGGATGTGGTACTCTCTCATACCTTCAAATTCTGGTTCTGTCAAAGACTAAGAAAGTTGTTTACTTCACCAATCCTTTAACACCTCATCTATAACATGGAAATAGTGGTATCTTACAATGTGAAATGAAAACATATGTAAAAAGCACTAGCACAGTTGACATACAGAACGCATTCAAAGTTACCTTCATTCCTGAGCCTCATGCCCTTGCTTTCCCTATTCAATCCCAACATCTCACTCCCATACAAAAAAAAAGTATTAAAATTAGGAGAAAATTTTAATATGAGAAGATTATTCCTTCTAATAACTGACAATCCTATTGTTTGTATATGCATTATTTATTTTATCATGAATTTATCAGTAATTTATATTTTATATTGTGACTATCACATGCCAACTTCTACTACAGGCTCATAGAAAGCAGCCAGAGAGCCAAGAATAAGATAAAAGTGAGATGAAATAATCAGTTTGAAAGGAGTAAAATGCGAGTGTCAAGGGGTTAGAAGTGATAATTATTCCTACCTGAAATTAAACCCTACCTTCTCTGCACGTCCAAGTCCTAGCCAAGTCCTAGTCGAGACTTGGGTTAGTCACCATCTGCATTATAAGCCTCTACTCCAAATTGCTCCCCTTTGCCCATAAAAATCTAGCACACTCACTGCCTGAACTGCACACATGTCAGAGATAAAAGTATGTTTATCTTCATGGCCTTTGAACATAGGACTCAAATATTAGATTTTAATATAGGCTTTTCTTCTTGTTTAATGTTTTGGTCTGTCTTAAGATATTAAAATCCTAGGGAATTTAATTTTAAAACTATAATACATAATTAAAAGAAATTTAATATTTCTATGGAAAATTTACAAGCAAAAGTGATTTCTTTTATTCACACACAAGTTTTTGTTTTTGTTTTTTAATTGCTGCAAAAAGGTTTATTGTTTCAATTTGGTCCAAGGCATGGGAGAGGGCTCCAAGATGGTTAGAAGGCTGCCTATTGGTTGCAGGGAGAGGCTCAGGCACAAGGCCAACACCAGGGGGATGCAGAGGGGCCCCTCAAAAGCCTCTGGGCTCCAAAGGCTCTTAGTCATACTTGAGGGTGAGCCTTTCAAAGAGATACTCGCCCAGCGGAGCCTGGGGGCCAGCCAGCCTGCGAAGGTTAGTCAGGTGGTCGTCCATCTTTTTGATGATTTTCACTTCTTCATCTAGGAAATAGCTCTTCAGAAAGTCACAGAGATGGAGGTCTGTGCAGGCAGAACCCAGGGCATGCAGATCCAAAAGGGCCTGGTTCAGGTTCTTCTCCATGACCATGGCAGCTTCCACTGCATCCTGCGTTTTACTCCATTCATCTTGAGAAGGTTTCTGCAGGTCCTGGAAAGGAGGCACGGCCGCCACACTGGTTTTGCATCTTCAAGAGACTCTGGGCACCCTTGTGTTTCTCCTTGGCCAACTCATGGGAGAAGTAGCCCACACTCTCCAGAGCCACATGGTTGCAGTTGAAATAGAAGCCAGAGAGAGGCAGGTATAGGAGGTCCGCAGATGTAGGCCGACCAGGCAGTTGACAGCAGCCTCCACCTCGGTGGCATAATTCTGAAGGATCTGAGAGCTCATGGTTGTTGGGCAATAAGAAATTAAGTTCAAAACACGGTGTTGGCTGGTCTTGGAGGCCAAGGATAGCTGAGAAGGTTCTGAAGTTTGTGACTAGAAAAGAGGTTGGAGGGTGGCCGGAGGCTGGAAGAAGGGGCGTCCCTGGGTCTGTTCCGTCCAAACACTGTTGAAGCAAAAGATAGATCCAGGGGACCCCCGAGGGCACTGCCTAAAACATTCTTACTATATCATTAATAATGTTAATCCAGTTATATGCAGAAGACACTTTAAGTAAAACTAATTAGCTTTAGTAATAAGAAAGGATAAGTTCTATTCCAAAGTAACAAACACATCCATACAGAGTTCCTCAATTTTAAATAACCAAACATATCTTTCCCCATCTCTTCTAAAATATCACAATGACAAGTATTAAAACAACAAATTTAAAATTTGTAAGTCAATACAGTCATAAATATTTTAATTCCGGTATACTTTAAAATACTGCTATAGAAGGGATCTGCTAATGAAAGTTGCTTGTTTAGCAGCAGTTAGACAGTGGTTCTTAACCCTTTAGAGATCACAGACTCCTTTGAGTATCTGATAATAAAAATACCTGTGGGCATTTCACATAAAATACACATATACACAAAACTTTATGTGAGCTTTTAAGGCTTCATGCTCCATCCCCCAAGACTATATTCACCTATCAAATTAAGAAGCCCTGCAATAAGAGACAGTTGGGGAACATAAGTTGAAAAAGTTCAAATTTAGGAATGATTCACACTAATATTCTACTGCAGTTTGCTCTCATAGCTAACAAATCTGGGAGTGATGGTAGAAGACTTGAAAAGGAACTGAGAGAAGTAAACAAATAAGAGTAATTTCCAGAGGAGATGAAAGAACAACTTGAGTCATCTAAGACTCTGCTGACTTAATTTGTAAAAAAAAAAAAAAAAAAAAAAGAGAGAGAGAGAGAAAGAGAAAGGGTGAGGAGAGAGAAAAGAAAGAAGGAAAGAGGGAGAGAGGGAAAGGTGAGAGGAGAATGCGGGAGAGCCACATGTAAAGGAGAGAAGGACAAATCCTTAGAAAGAAAACATCTTCATCGACTCAATCTTTCTTGGTCAGGAGCATTCTGAAATGAGTGTGAGGCTGAAGACTACAACAGAAATGGTTAGACTCCAAGTACACGTTTAGTCCACTACAGACAGAAGAGACACTCTCTGACCTTTAGGTTCAAACATGCCAAACACTCCTACTTTGCAAACTATTAGTCAATGTTTTACTTCAATATTGCATTATTTCAGCAACTGATCACAACATGCAGGACAGGCAATCATGGCCTACCAGCCACTTCTGAATCTGTCCCCATTTCCGATCAAAGGAATGATGAGAGTGCTACAAATGCAAAGGTTTCATAAACTGAACAGTTTCTAAAATACCGCATTCTCTGAAAAGCCTTAAGTTAATCATATATACTTGCCCTGAAGAACAATGATTGTTGACTCAAAGTAACTTACACATTCAAAATACAGAAAATTAGTAAGCAAAATATGTTTAATAAGAGATATATGGGTCTCTGTAAATTATAAGGAGAAATTATGGTTTAGAGAACAATAAATAGAACTTATATTTAATAATTATCTCCTTATAATTTACTAAATTTTTAGGAGTATAAAAGAAAATGCATTACAACATTTTCATTTCAAGCCAAGAAATGCATTCAATATTTGAATCTATCTATGAGTTTAAAAAATATTAGCATCATATCTATCAACTGTTTTGGTTTTGAGCTGTGACAATATGGAATCTATACACATTTTTAATTTATTAGCAGAGGCTCTACCACCAACATCAAAATAAAGTGTTTAATACTATCCTGGTTTTTTCCCCCTTGTACTAATAATACAGCATCAGAAATAGTTTTTATGGGGATTTTCAGAGCCAGGTCAATGTCAGAAGGGTAAAAAAAAAAAAAAAAAAAAGTTGTTTCATTTTCAAGCAGCCTAATTTCTATACGCCTATTTAAAATTTTTTTGTTTTTGCTCTCCTTTATGATAAAAACATATTGAAATTTATAAAATACAGAAAAGCATAAGAAAATAAAAATCAATCATAATCCCACTATAGACAAACCGAAGTATTGATAGTAACCACTTCTTTGTAGTAGTTTTTGACCCTATATACGGGCAAATATAGGTTTTGTGTCACAAAATTAGAGTCCTACCAGTCTTTGTTTTTTATTTTCTTACATGAATATTTTCTTCCATTATTAAATACACTTAAAAACTGTGAGGTTGAATGACTTCACAGTGTTTTACTATGTAGATATTGTAATACAATTAATTGAAATTCTAGGACCTTTAAGTCTATAATAAATAACTGTCATCTCTAAGCCTACTTTAGCTTAGGGCATCAATTTTACTTCAGAATTAAACTAGCTAAGTACTGATTTTTCTTTAGACTAGCATGACATTAGAGTTATTCCCCCAAATTACCTCTTTTTGCTGTCGTTCCAGTTCTCTCATGCGTATATCTCTTGCTTCTGCCCGAGCAGCCCGTTTTGCTGCCAGCCTTGCTTCTGCCTGAAAAGTAACATAAAGATTCAGCTTGATTTAAAAATAACAAACACCACTACCTCTATACCAGCTTTAAGGATAAGGGGCAAATGGGACAGTACCTTCCATTGGCCACAAGATATTAATCTATCAGCAGTTTGACTGGCTTCTTCAGTCAACTACACACTCATTTCTTTCTCTAGTCCTAGAGTCTCCTGAAATCTGGGCACCTTTAACTGATTGCCTTGATTACACATTCAAAACGTTTCACACAATTCAAACTTGCTTTTTATTCCCTATCAATTCAATCATGGAAATTAGAAACTTCAGAACCAGCCTCTATTTAATTTTGGACATTGCCAATATTCAGTCTCCAAGTATTGTCAATTCTCTATCACTGAGTTTTCTCCAACTCACCTTGGCCTTTTTTTAATTGTTTCTACGTGTTTCAAGAACTCTTCATCCCTCTCTCTCTCTTTGAAATATAATTCACACTATCAAATTCACCACTTAAAAATATACAACTCAGTGAGTTTTTAGTATATTCACAAGATTACACAACTATCACTACTATCTAATTCCAGATACTTACATCACCTCAAAAAGAAACCCCACACCCATTAGCAGTCACTCCTCCCAGCTCCTGGCTACCACCAATCTACTTCTGTCTCTATGAATTTGCCTATTCTGGACACAATAAGAACTCGTCCTCTCTTGTTTGAATACTGCAATTGCCTCCAAATCCATCTATTTGCCTCCAGAATCTGCCCTATAATTCATCTTCTACATGGTTACAAGACTGCCAATCTGCCTTTCAAAACACATTTCTGATAGTCATTCTGCTTCATAAAATTCTCCATTGGCTCCCCATTACTTATGGTTAAAGCAAAAATTCCAAGGACTAGCACAAAAAGAATAAAGAGAAGAAAAGCAAAAACAGAAACAAGGTTCCTCCCAGTCAGATCTCTGCCTAATTTTCCAGTAGTTTGCCCACATGTACCAGCTGCTCCCATCTGCCACAATTCCTAGGCTCTACTGTCATCTGTTAAGCCACTCTTCTAGACTGTTTGCTTAGCAGGAGGTATTCTCACTTCTCTTACTCAGCTAAAACATGACCTTCTATGAAGATTTCTCCCATTCCCTCTTTCACAGAGTAATGCTCAATGCACATGCCTCTACTATCATTGTGTTAAGCTGCATTAAAATTACATGCTTCTGTCACCCCACAAATTTCATGCCTCAATGTCTACTAAATAAACAAAAGAATTTCAGGCCATAGGCCAAAGTACCAAGAAAATGAGACAAGGAAATAGCTTGATATACCACATGAAGCAAAAATCTTTTCTCTGGTTTCGATCTCATAGTGGTTTCCTCTATTCTTGGCCACATCCTAACTCTGATTTCAATCTCCCCCTTTGATAACTGCAGTAGTTGCTTCTTCTCATGTTGTTATATTTGTGCACAAGTCCATACTAAGAAGTGACTTGGCCAATGTTTAAAATGGTCTATTGTGTGTAAGCAATTATGCTAGATGCTGAAAATACACAATAAGATATGACATCTCTGCCCTAAAAAGTTCACCATCTACCTGAGGGAGACAGAAACACAATGGTTATAAGGAAGGAAGCAAGCATGCAGGAGGGAGCAATTAATTTTGCTTGGCAAAGTCAGAGTAGGCTTCTAATAAGAGGAGACAGTTTAATAATTAACATTTATTCAACTAGCCCAATTTTGGCTATTTCCCAGTCTGCTTAACTGGCCTGGTCTTTTAGTATCAAAAACCCAGCAAAGTAATTGCAATCTGTCAACATCAAGCTCTAAACACTGACATGACCAGAGCAATTTGTCTTCTCACGTGAATTTTACATTGGCCTCTATCTTTAAAAAACCTATACTACATTTCTTAAAAAAAAAAACAAACAAACACACACCTGTGCTCTACCTTCTTTATCTACTTTCTTACTAGGCACCACTTTCTTACCAGGGTTTGTATTTTACAGAAAAAGACTACAAGGCTAAGTTATGTTTTGGCAGATAGCAAGTAAACTTTTAAATTACAACATATTATTTTTCTGGGAAAAATTTTCAAACTTCTTTTATTTTAAGAAAGCCAAAGCAATGTGTAGACATTTTCATTTCCATGTATATTAACTCTGTACTTGTAGCCTTCCTTAGAAATTTATCAAGAATGCCAAGTTCAACATCTAAAACTAATATTGATTGTATGTCAACTATAATTGAAAAATAAAAAATATTTTAAAAAAACATTACACCAAGATTATAAATTTTACTGATACAAAAGATATGACACAATTTATAAATAATAAAATATACAGTACTTAAAAAGAATGCCAATTTCGTCCTTCTAATATCTGTGGCCAATTCTGCACAATCAATACTAAAATGGGACTTCTCTCACTAAACCTGAATTATAGATAAAATTTCTTTCATAACAAAAGGGGAGGGAACCTGACTGCTGTGTAACAGAAAGAACATGGACTTCGGAGCCACAAAAATATCCTTTCCTTTGTTACTTAGCCAACTTTATCCAAACTCAGATGCTGCTTCTCTTGGAGATGGTCCTGAAGGCCACTAAACAAGCTTAAAAGAGATAAACAGAATTTAAAACTGCTTTATCTGGTTCTTTGGATACACTGCTACCAGAAGCCTGAGGCAACACTGATAGTAGAAGTAGCAAGGAGCAAATGGGATTCCAATCCAGTAGACAAAACATGTGCTCTAAACTTACACTGACATATTTTTAAACAGGCAAATTACAATTACACGAAGCATACTTTTAGGCAGTAATGCTAGTATTTTCCCCACAGAATACAATTGCATAAAAGAGCTGCTACGGATTCAACACCCACCTCACACACATATACAATAAATGGGGCCTAACAATAAAGGACCGCGAAGATTTAACTAAGTTCAAAACAAAGTTAGTTAAAAAATTAAACACAGAATTACCATTTGATTCAATAATTCTACTTCCGAGTACATACACAAGAAAACTGAAAGCAGAGATCAACAGATATGTGTACGCCAATGTTCATGAGCAGCATTATTCATAACTGTCGCAAGGTACAAACAACCTAAATGTCCATCAATGGATGAATGGATAAATAAAATGTGTTATATATGTGGATGAAAAAGGGGTGCTGTAATAAATCGTAAATTCCTAACTGGGCACATCATGGTGGGTAGTCATGCCCAGGGATATAACTTCTTTAGTGAAAGGTTTTTAAGCATATAGGTGAACATGTCTTTGAAATGCCAAAATAAATACCCTCACAGATGTGACCACCCACAAGAGAGAACAAAATCTTGTTAATTATCCTATAATCCAATGCCCGCCTTGCTTTTTCTCACCTCCATGTACTCTTCCTTACATTCCTTCCTTAATTTCAAATGCATAAAAAGAAACTGCAAAACTTATTCTCTGAAGCATCTGTCATCAATTCTGTATCAAATAAACTCTTAGAAAAATTCTCTATAGCTGGACATTTTTTAAGTCAACATACACATATTATGGAATACTATTCAGCCTTACAAAAAAGGGAGAATTTGACACATGCTACAACATGTAAGAACATGAAAGACATTATGTTAAGCGAAATAAGCCAGTCACAAAAGGACAAATATTGTATGACTCTGCTTATATAAAGTACCTAAGAATAGTCAAATACCATGGGGATAGAAAGTAGAACAGTTGTTGCCAGGAGCTGAGGGAA